GTGACCTTCTTAAAACATTGCCTTGAGTGGGCGCCCGTGGCTCATGCCTACAATCCTAGCTATTCAGGAGCCTGAGATCCGAGGCTAAAATTACAGTTTGAAGCCAGGCCCAGCAAGAAAGTCTATGAGATTCTTATCTCCAATTAACCACCCAAAAGCCAAAAGTGGAGTTGTTACTTAGGTGTTAGGGTGCTAGCCGTTTGCACAAAAAGCTCATGGACACTACCTAGGTCCTCAGTTCAAGCCCCAGGACTGGTGTACACGTGTGTGTGTGTGCACATGCACACACACACACACACACACACACACACATACACACACACACACACAGTGGCCTCAAACTTTTTAATACTGGCCGGGCATTGGTGGCTCACGCTTGTAAACCTAGCTATTCAGGAGGGTGAGATCTGAGGATTGAGGTTCAAAGCCAGCCCGGGGAAGAAAAGTCCGTGAGACTCTAACCACCAGAAAACCAGAAGTGGCACTGTGGCTTAAGTGGTAGAGAGCTCACCTTGAGCTGAAGAGCTGAGGGACAGTGCCCAGGCCCAGAGTTCAAAATCCACAACTGACCCCCCCCCAAAAAAAGAACTTTTTAATACTTCTAGTAAGATATGAAGTCCAAGGACCTTTCCCTGAGCCTGGTAAGACATGTGACTGCTTAAACCAATAGAGTAAGGCAGAAATGATGATGGGAGATTTCCAAGACTGAGCTATTAAAGGCCTTTGTCTGCTGGTTCTGCACATGGTCTCACAACCCATGTAGAAGTTTATTCTCCTGGGGCTGCTGTGTGGGGAAGGCCACATGCAGGCACCATCCAACAACACTGGCGGAGTGTGGTCTTCCAGTCTTTCCTGTATGTCAGTGGCTCCTGAGGCCCTGCTGCTCTGGCCCCAGCCTGCTGTGGACCGGGAGGTAGAGGTGCTGAATACTCACTGTGCTATAAAATGGAGATTGTCTACCACTGTGCTTGGGGACCTTTATTGGTCCATAATAGATACCTGATCTAAGATGTCCCAAACCTGCATTATCCCCCTACAGTTCTGCCTTTTAGTCAATAGGTTCACTCACTACAATGGTTGAAAATGTTCATGTTCCGTTGCCATTCACCAAGTTCATTTCTCTCATCTGAGTCCTCTTTTTCCACATCCACTGCCCAGCCTTATTAGTTTAGACCCGTAGCTCCAGGACTTAGTTCAGATCCTGCTATCCACAGGCAATGGTCTCCTGGCGGATCTCTCTGACTTTCCCTGTCCTTTGTCTGTGCTGCTGGAACTGGTCATTGCAGATGCATATAAGTCTAATCACTCTCAGGCCTTGCTTAAAATTCTCGACAGGCTGCTAGGACTTACTATGACCTTTGCGCTTTGGCAGCCTTTCTCCAGCCAGCCAGGCGCCCATCCCATCGCTCTGTGTCTCCACCCAGAGCCTCTCTTCTCACAACATGCCAGCACGTTTCTGTCCTTTCTCCATTCTCTTCCCTCTGCCTGGGCTTGCCCTGGCCTTCATGCCTCCCCTGTCTGAAACATTTTATTCTACCTCCAAGGCCTTGCTGAAAGAAACATCATGGGCTGAGTAGCTCTCCTCTCCAATAGTGTCATTATAAATATGTGATTTCTGCTTATGAGTCTATTATTGGTAGTGTATGCTCTTCTATTACTCTGTTCTGTCACTGAGTGTCTGCATGAAGCCTCAGGCTTGCTCAAGAGGTTATCCTTTTTCCTAGGTTCTCTCTCTTTGCCAAGGCAGACACCTGAGACACCTCTAGACACCTGAGGTCACACTTTAGTCTCCTGCCTGCTCTCCTTGACACCCAGCATGCCTCCCCCAGTGCCCCCTTCTCCCTCACCCTGTACTGATTGACTTTTGCTCTGAGCATTTCTTCTTGCTCAATACTGTAACTTTTCTAGATGAAATCTTAAGATGCTGCAAATGGAGGTATTTTTCTCCTTGTTTGTTTATAAGATATTTTAGCAACTATATACCCTAGTACCAGAAGTCATTTTTATTTCTTAAAAATAAAACAAGCATTTTATTATTAAGATGCAATTCCTATGTCATACAGTTCACTGTTTAAAGTGTACTCCTTAGTGTTTATGGTCCCTTTTTTCTTCTCCTTTTTTAATTTTATTTTAGAACTTTAAATTGTTATGATAAGGGTGATGTACAGAGGAGTTACTGTTTCATAAATCAGGTAATGAGTACATTTCTTTTTTGGACATTGTCATCCCTTCCTTCACTGTCTCATAGGTTTTCCCTCCTATCCCTGCCCAAAGTTGTATAGTTCATCTTCAACATAGTTTCCAGTCATTATCCCTGCTGAACCCTTTGTCCCTCCATTTCTGTGTACCTCTTAACCACCTCTGGAGACAGATATATAAACATACAAGACAAAAAGAAAAGTAAAAAACTCTAGTTCCCAGTTCCTGGAGTTCATTTTGATAAATATTATTTTATATTGGTAGTCCTTTTTAAAATAAGGTATTTAAGTAATTAAATTTGGGTGATCTGATTGAGAACTGAGATTTTAAATATCACTTGGATATCCATAGTGCCTCTATTCATTGAGGCCTTTTTAAAGTAAAAAGAAAATTGTAGCATGGAAAAGTGAACATAAATGTTTTAATGGTTTAAGTAAAGGTAAAACCATACTTAGAGACTGAATTTTTATACCCTACATTTATTAGGGAATAATAAATTTCCTTCATAATAACAGGACAGTTGGTCCTCATTTAAAGAACTTAATGGAGTTGAGGTGTGGCTCAGAGGTAGACACTTTGCTAGCATGTGTACAGCCCTGGAAAAAATAATTGATAATTTAATCATTAGTTCACATGTTGGTCTCTTTAAAGGAACATTACATACATTAATTAAAATGTGTGTTAGAAGCCGGGCACACGTGGCTTAGCTACTTAGGAGGCTGAGATCTGAGGATTGTAGTTCAAAGCCAGACCTAGCAGGCAAGTCTAGGAGACTCTTACCTTCAGTTAATCATCAAAAAGCCAGAAGTTGTACTGTGGCTCAAGGGTAGAGTGCCAGATTTGAGTAAAAAAGCTAAGGGACAGTGAACTCAAGCCTGAGTACCAGCATTTAAAAAAATGTATGTAAGAAATTAGAAAGAAAAGGCTGGGATAAGCCAGCTTGAATGTAGTGATCAGTTTTTAAATACAGAACACTTGACAGACTTCTAATGCTTTTATTTTTTTCTTTTTTCCATGGCAACATAAAGATAGAATAAGCCAGTGTTAAAGTTTGCCTTAAGAGTCAAGGATGAAATACATATGTCAAAATACAAACTGTAGGCTTCCTGCAGCCTCCCTCTCTCCCTTCTCTCTCTTTCTACACCTCAGTCTGCAAAAAGCATTGATTAATCTTATTAGTGAAATCATTTTTGTCTTGCTTCCATAATCATAAACTAATGTGATATTTAATAAGTGCAAGTTATCTTTTTATGACATTCATTAGTCAAACTTTATAGACTTCTTTTGCTCCTTACAGCTTTCCAGTTACTTTACCCACATTTATGAATATCCAAAATTAAGAACCAAAACCTAGAGGCTCCAAAGAAACAGATCAGCAGGTATATCTACTAAACAATATAAAATGTTAAAAAAAGAATATAAAATGTTGATATGGAAATATATGGTCTTAATAAATTTAATGATAAGTGGAAGAATGAGAAACTCTGACATATAAGAATAATATATATAATATATAAGAATAAAATTTTTGACATAAAAAGCTCATACAAACCAGTAAAAGAAAGTTAATTAAATTAGCCAGGAATTGGCAAGAGCACGGAGAGCAATTCACAACAGAAATATGTAATAAATGCTGTTGGGTATAAGTGCAAAATAAGAGCAATACAAGTGTGTCTATGACATGAACAAAAATTAATAAAATTATTCATACGCAATGTTGGTAAGAATGAGGAGGAAATAGATAATATGTACAGCCTTTTAAGAAGAGCAATTTGAAGTTGGGCATGGGTGGCTCACACCTGTAATCCTAGCTACTCTGGAAGCGAGATCTGAAGGTGGAGGCTCAAAGCTCACACATGCAGACAAATCAGAGAGACTCTTATCTCCAACTAGCCAGCAAAAAGCTGAAAGTAAAGGTGTGGCTCAAGCGATAGAGTGCCAGCCTAGAGTGAAAAAGCCAAGAGAGTTTGAGGCCCTAAGTTTAAGCCCCAGTCATGGCACACACAAAAAAGAAATTTTACGAAAGTTAACAAAGTTGTAAATACACATGCCTTTTTTTTCTTTTTCTTTTTTCTATTTCTTTTTTTTTTTTTGGTCATAGGGTTTGAACTCAGGGCCTGGACATTGTCCCTGAACATTTTTACTCAAGGCTAGCACTCTACCACTTCGATCCACAGTGCCACTTCTAGTTTTCTGGGGGTTAATTGTAGATAGTCTCATAAACTTTCCTATCCAGGCTGGCTTTGAACTGTGCTCCTCAGATCTCAGCCTCCTGAGTAGTTAGGATGACAGAGGCGTGAGCCACCAGCACCCAGCTACACATACATTTTTATTCTACTATTTTTCCCTTGGTTATCTGTTCTACAGAAATAATTACAAGTAAACAGGGACACTCATTTTCTATATTATTGAAACTTCAAATAATTGAAGAAACATCAGTGCATATTAATAAGGCTCTTTATACAATGGGTGTATCTGCACAATGGAATTTCCTACTGTGCATCCAAAACATGGGCTAGATTTTTCTCCTCTTCAGTTTTCCCTCAATGTTTTTTACAGTGACATCAATTGATTTAATTTTGGAAACTTTAATGAAAACAATTGAAGAAGAAGACTAATATCCAAAAAATGCTAACTATCTTCCATCATGAGTATCAACCCACCAAGTTTTATATTTACTAGGCACAGCTCAGGCATGCACCTGTTTCTTGGGAGCTACTTGGGAGGCTGAAGTAGGAGGATGGCAAGTTCAAGGCCAGCCTGGGAAATATAGTTTTCACTGTGGTCTCTTTCATTTCCAGATGCCTATGTTCATGGATAAACCTGACCTGTGGTGATGGCTATAACCAGAAGACACTCATTGGGGCAGTGGGCTTGTAGTGCTCAGGATCAGGAGTAAAAGAACCAAAGAAAGTCAGCCAGATCTCACCCTACTGTGAGCTGCCACAGCTTGCCATTTGTGCTGACACCCAGGAAACAGCGAGACTCAGCAGCCTGGACCCAGCTGTCCCTTCCTTTTTACCTGGTTTGGGAATGAGTCTAGGAGAAGCACTGACCACCATTCTGGTGCCTGGAAGCTGTCTGTGTTTAAGCCTCCCCATTAGACTTGCCACTGTGAGGCACAAATGTCACTCCATAGACCTGTTCTGGGTTAGTAGAGATAATGATTAGGATTCGCAAGGATAGACAACCAGTAGCCCTTCCTGGGGAAATTCCAGCTCCATAGCCTTGCAGCCTCCAGAGTTTATTTGGGGATGTTAGGCCTTCATCTAAGCTAGTTCAAAAGGAATTCAAAATAAGATTTGCAAATTGAAAAATAAGTGTGGCAATTTGAATGTCTTTCTTAATTTTAATCTCTTTCTTTTCTTAATTGAGCAAATCATTTGCTTTGTGCATGTGAATGATGGTTTTTTTAAAGATCACATTTTTTGTTCTAAAATATATTTGGGAAAACATATAAAAATCTTGTTTAGAAAAGAAAGGATGCAGGAATTCCCAGTTTTCCTATGATCTAGGGCATATTATAATTAAAGTGCAGAGGTACCAGTTTGAATAAAAAGAACATTTAGCCACTCACAAATCAGTTCTTAAAAAGAAGCATTCAATGAAAAGAAAAAATGGAATGTGTTCAAGTATAACTCTTCAAGCCCCAACCTAGTGCCCAAAGGTTCCAGTAAGCCTTTTTGGACCTTGATCTCTTGAATTCCATAGGTATAGAATTTAAGTTTATAACCTAGGTTTATACTTACACTCCATTCTTCACTGTTTTCCTTCATAGCAACGTCCACTATTTTTGAGTCCAAAGGCATGCATTGTTAGCCTCATGTAACATATACTCCACTCACGACTGACTAAAGGAACCAGCAAAGCCATAAATGGGCAAACTACAACTCATGGAACCCTTGGTTTCCCTATCTAGTCTTAGACAAGTTAACCTGTACTCAAGTTCCAAGCAAGGCTCTTGCTAGCAGGGCAGTTTCTTGACTTGGCCATTGTACCTGACATCTCTGGAAAGTAACCTGGCTTCTCTAAACCATGGATCTTTATCCACATGGATAATAAACTAGCCAAGAAGTGCTATCTGATGTTCTTTTCTTTTTATTTTAGCCTTTGGCTTGTACTCTTTTTCTCTAGTTCCTTTCTCTTCTAAGATAATGTTTCTTCATAGGTGGTTACCTGCAGAGACTACCAGTGACCCTAGTTAAATGCACAGCTTTGTGGGATCCCTTGTGGACTTTGAAGCCGATTCTTAGGTATGAAGCAAGGCCTGCATCTCTCAGTGGTTCCTACAGACTCTCTTTTATTCTCAGGTACTTGTGTCTGATTTCCACAAAGGTAGATTCTACTGTTTTTCAGTGATGAGTCTCAGACACAAATACGCTGATGAGACTAGTTGATAGAGGCCCCCTCGTCAGTTCTTTTGCCATGCCATACCATCCACCCTGCTCCCAGACAGTGTCTGCCCATTCACGTGCACCTGAGGTCCCTGGTTTCAGTGGATACGTTTCCCCATTGACTCCAAGTAACCTCTGAGATGCTTTGCCACAGCCCAGAAAACTGGGAATTCTTCATCCACTTGTGGACACTACAGGAAGACACATACTCATCTACACCCATATACCTACACATATGGGCACACCTGTGCCACACCAGGCACAGAGCTATGTACAGCCATGAGCTATCATGGAAACATGGGCACAGAATGTGTAACTCATCCTCCTCTTTTTAGATATTTTCAAATCTGTGTTTCTGTGGTGATGTCTTTTTTAGGCTCGTTTCCTTGACTACAGGTTGAGAATGATGAAAAGCCCCTGTGTGCCTTTTAGTAGTCCTGTCTCTATTGGGCTCGGTGGCTGAATGACTGTATTCTTAGTCCTGAGTCACAGTCTGTTGTATTGATGCTATTGATCATATCTTTGCACTGGAATTTCAGAATCTATTTGCATAAAACATATCCCTACCCAAGAATTGATCATCTTCATTCCTTCTTTTACTGCATCAAATACTAGCTCCATTGCTTTCAAGGGCGGCATGGCTCAACCCTTGTCTCCTTAAACCCTCCTCTGCTGCCTCTCTTCCAGCCCCCTGTGATTTTTTTGTTTCCAGCCTTTATTCTAGCCTCTGTCCATGCTGGTTCTAATGAAAGGTTCAAATCCAATTCCTAGATCCCTGAGTGACTTGGGGCAAGTTGTTCAGTCTCTAGGTCTGTTTCTTCACCCATTGGCAATAGGGGCCACCACGTGCTGATAATAATTTGACCAGCTGCCCAGTACTGAAATATTTATAGTTTTAGCAGCTATTTTTGTGAGAAAGCTAAGTGCATCCTTACCCCATAGTGACTCCAAGTGCTGAACAGAACTAAATAAAGTCAATCTGATAGCACAGCACACATTTTTCTACTATAAAAACTTGAATAAAAGATCACAAACAATATTTCCTTTCTTTTTTACTCATTTCTCTAAATACCTGTATTGGATATTTAATTTAAAGCAATATTCTAAATCATATGCCATCAGTGTTCAAAGAGCTAAAAGAGTAAATATTCACTAGAAATTGAGGAAAGTAAAACTGAGCCAGTACAATACATGGTTTACTTATAAAAGTCATTGATGATACCATAGGCTATGCCCTGGGATGCAATCCAAATAAGAAGAAGGGATTAGTCAAAAGGTTTCACTTGAGTTGGGCACTGGTGGCTCACGTCTGTAATCCTAGCTACTCAGGAGGCTGAGATCCAAAGATCACCCTTCAAAGCCACCCCAGGAAAGTCCATAAGACTCTTACCCTTTTTTTTTTTTTTTTTGGTCAGTCACAGGGCTTGAACTCTGGGCCTGGGAGCTGTCCCTGCGCTCTTCAGCTCAAGGCGAGCACTCTACCACTTGAGCCACAGTGCCACTTCCGGTTTTCTAGTGGTTTATTGGAGGTAAGAGTCTCACGGATTTTTCTCCCCAGGCTGGCTTTGAACCATGATCCTCAGATGTCAGCCTCCTGAGTAGCTAGGGTTACAGGCGTGAGCCACCAGCACCTGGCAGACTCTTACCTTTAATTAATCAAGGAAAACCTGGAAGTGAAGTGGTCAGTTAAGTGACCGAGACAGTACCTATACCCTGAGTTCAAACAAAAAGGGGATGAGGGGCTCTTTTACAAGTTCCTGGTGGTCCCAGTATGCTGCAGCATACTGTTTCCCATGTCCTTCCATTCATCTACTTCCCCCCACCTCTGCCCATTTACCACCCATCTCTACTCAAACATCTTCCTTAATCTCCTCCTTGTCCCCACCCACGAGCTAGGCCCTCTACATGCCCTAGTAAATACACAGATGTTTTCTATCTAGTATTCAGCCTTCTCTCCTTGTGACCACAAATAAACTACATTTCATAGAGGTTGATTATTTTTGTGGAGGGAGAGGGGTTGGTCGTGGGGCTTGAACTCTGGGCCTGGGTGCTGTCCCTGATCTCTTCAGCTCAAGACAAGCGCTGTACCAGTTGAGCCACAGCACCACTTCTGATTTTCTGGTGGTTACTTGGAGATAAGAGCCTCATGGACTTTTCAGCCTAGTTTGGCTTTGAACTGCGATCCTCAGCTCTCAGCCTCCTGAGTAGCTAGAATAACATACATGAGCCACTGGTGCCCGGCCATGAGGTTGATTTATACCAACAACATGGACAGCAGTAACACTCATCATTCGCAGTCTTTATTGGTTTCAAAATATGTCTATATATTCTTTGATAGTTTCCTTGAAAGGAGCAGTGGAGCATAATTCTTCTCCTCTTAAGTGTGAGCTGGACTTAGTGATTCTCTTCTAATAAACAAATATGGCCTATGACTTCTGAGACCAGATCATAAAAAGCATTGCTGCCAGGTGCAAGTGGCTCATGCCTGTAATACTATCTACTGAGGAGGCTGAGATCTGAGGATCGAGGTTCAAAGCCAGCCTAGGAAAGGAAAGTCTGTGAGACTCTTACCTCTAATTAATCCCCCCCAAAACCCAAAAGCCAGAAGCAGAGCTGTGGCTCAAGTGGTAGAGCACTAACCTCGAGCAGAAAAAGCTCAGGGACAGTGCCCAGGCCCTGAGTTTAAACCTATGACCTGAAAAACAACAACAACAACAAAAACCACATTAGAATATCCACCTCTGCCTACCCCACCCAATCACTCTTTGGCTTCCGGGGACTCCAGCTGCCATGTTGTAAAGTGCCTTTGGAGATGTCCACATGGCTAGGACCTGAAGCTGCCTTCTAGCAACTGGCAAACATCCGAGCCCTTCTACCATTAGCCATATGATCAAGGCATCTTGGAAGATCTTCTGTCATTCAATTCTTCAGGTAAGTGGCGTCCAGCCAATCTTGATTCCATGAGCAATCCAGATCCAGAACTACCCAACTAAGCTGTTGAATTCCTGACCCATGAAAAGTAGGAGTCCCCTCCACCCCCTGCCACCTGTCCTGGGCTTGAACTCGGGGCCTAGGCACTATCCCTGAGCTTTTGTGCTCTAGGCTAGTGCTCTATTGCTTGAGCTACAGGCTCCAATTTTAGCTTTTTGGTGGTTAATTGGAGAGGTAAGAGTCTCACGAACTTTCCTGTCTCTGCTGGCTTCGAACTGGGATCCTCAGATCTCAGCCTCTGAGTAGCTAGGATTACAGATGTGAGCCACTGATAATACTGGCTTTTTAACCTAGTTATATAATAGATAACTGAACATTCATAGACCAATAATATACCAGCTTAACTATAAAATATTTCATACAATATGTATACAAACTCTCTATTTGCCTGTTCATGAACCTTGAAATAAATGGTTCTAAAACCCTAGAAGGCTACAAAGAAAGGAAAGCCCAACTTGAGGCTTTCTTATTACAGTGGCAAGAGCTATTTATGCTGTGTAAAACATCCTCCTGTTTTCTTCCCATGGCATTTATTGTTCTTTACCTCA